AATGAGCAATGAAAAGGGATAGGATGAAAAAATAGTAGAAATCCAGATAGTTCAGATGGAAGCTACCTAAAACATATTTCCCGTTTTTAATTGTCAAATTCACCATCTTAAAAGAAAAGAGTTTTAAGCCTTCTTCCAAATACCAATGCTGGGCATGCAACATGCAAACGAATACCTGGAGTTGCAACTAAATCTTGTTTATTTTGGTAATCATTACTTTTCTTATAGTGGAAAGACAGATGAAGAAAGGACATTATTTTAACGCCTTTGGAATAATATATTTATTTTTAATTCTGTATAGACTCAGCTACTGGGTTTTGTGACTATGTTTGTTTCCAAAGACATAACCTTTTACTCCAGCAATTACCACTAGGAAAATGCACCGCAGAGTCCTCCCCAGTACCATATTGTATCGGCCTGCCACTAAGAAACCAGCAACTTTCCTGCCATAGGACTTCTTAAATTCTGACTGTCTTCTCTTCCTGTTAGGAAACATCTCTCATAAAAGAATCTCCTGAACTTATACATAGAGCTCTGGAAACTTACTTATTTTTGCTGTGTGGCAATTCTTTATATAGTATATGACACTTGGCTTCAAACTATGCTGTCTTTTAAAGATTTTTATTCTGATTTGCACAGGTGCTGTATGAAAAGAAAATCCTATTAGCAGTCTCTAACTTGTGTATTGATCAAAATAATAAAAAACCTCATAACATCTATTTATTAGATAAACTATATTATACAGCTTGTAGGAAAAAGCTTATTGTCTATACTATTAACAACTGGCTGTTACCTGAAGACTTAAAAAATCAGCAGTAAAGTAAAACTAGGGAATAAAAAAAAAACCCTCCCAGACTTTCCTATGTGCAAACATTTATCTGAATTTATCAAGTTTAAATACATAATTTCAGAGGTTTATGTTGACCAGAGAGTAACAAAGGGAGTTAATCAAATATGAATCCTCTCCAACTGTCTTGTCAAACCAGGTAATGATGTCCTGCCAGCCAAACTCAGAGGGAACATGTGAAACAAATACAAAAGTAAACAGGCCTTAAGCTGCCCAAGGGAAAGTCAGCAAGATGGCAATTTCAATCATTTGGAATAATACTAAAGCAGCCTTAGGCTTTTCTCAGAATGGAAACATGTCACTGTTACTGCAATATTTCCACAAATCAGACTGCAAAAGAAAGGAACACTTATGTAATCACAGCTGTGGAACAGGGCTTTACTCAATGGTGAAGCAGAAACTAATTAAGAGGAAATTCCCTTTTTGCGAGTAATTGTAAATGTACGTAAATAACAAAGACAAACAGTGTTTCCTTAGAAATTTCGAGGTGAACAAAATCAAATTTCGGCACAGATTCCTTTAGTTTTGATACAGGAAGCTTTGGAACAGCAAAGATAAAATTCTATCAAATAAAATATGAACATAATGTTCCTACAAAATATATCAAGTGTTGGTAAAAGTTACACTCGGAGATACAAAGCAAAAAGTACTTCAAGAACAATTCTGCTGAAAAGTTTCATTAAGATGAACCGGTTGTCATATCATTTAACTGAGAAATCAAAAAATATTTCAAATATTTGGGGAACTTACCTAATCAGTAAACTTTCAGTATGTGTCCAGTCATGTAGCCATCTTTTAGTCAATCATCAGAAAATCAAAGGCAAATTGGCATGACTCAACCCAAACTTTAATACCGCATGATTGTGTCGTGTAAGCTTGTTTTGTGCGAGGGCTGCTGTGGTTTTAGCAGAGAGATTAGCGACCGGACCTAAGCTGGCCTCCAAACCTTGCCCTGCTGATGCCTCAAGCCCTTTGAAGTCTGACCATCATACCTGGCAAAACAACAGTGGGAACTAGGCTGGTGTCAGATCTAATCAAGTTTCCTGCCTCAGCATAGCTAACTACGGGGTACACTAATTGGCCCAATTGCGGATTATACCTTTTGCTACAGATTCAAGACAATAATTTAGTCAAATGATGGTTTTTATCTCCTTCTAATTAAGATTCCAAAGTGGGAAGAAATAGGATTAGACAGGCTAACTTCAAAATCGTGTCCTTTAAAGTGGTATGCACATAAGATAGATCTCTGGTAATACTGCATATAATAATATATTGCTAGTAACTAAGGTGTGATGATTTGGGACAGCTTGATATAGCTACTGCACCTTTTACCATAAACATGTACGTTTTCATGGAAAGGGTCTACCTCATAATTTACAAATGGAAAATAAACACTCATAAATACTCATTAAAAAACATTTTCATCCTGAATTTCAAAAAAAATCCCTTTAGAATTGACATTGCAGTCAATCTTATCTTGACAAAGAAGAGACAAGAAAAAACTGAAACAGTTAAATGATTCTGCAGACTATAAAGAGGCGGAGTCCCTCCCACAGAACTGCAATCTAATAAAATGGATGTGACATTTAAAGGTTTTTTACTGATGAGGGCCAAACCATGAAGAACTATTTAACCTGTGAGCAAGCCAGAGAAGAGAAAATCCATGTCTCATGCCCTTATCTTAAACTGTAAAAAAATGAATGGTCTAGGGATGAAAACTCCTTTTGGAGAAATTTTGCCATAAGTCATAGGTATTGCATTTCTAACTTTTCTTATGTAATGTGATTTGAAAATGGCATTTCAAGTAGAGATCAATATTTTTACCCTAAATTGTGTATATAACTAAACAGAAGCTTTCCAAAAACTGTAGCGTACTCAAAATATATTTTCATTTCACATTTAAGCTACGTACTCAGTCATGAACCGAGTTGTACTTTGTATAAAGCACTGTTGCTTGTAACGCACTGTTGTGCTGCTTTATGTTTTTTCACACCAGAACCAAACCTGACTGCTGACTCATCACATTCTAACTGCAGACTCATTTTCGAAGACTGTATTCACATCCCTTCTTAATTCAATTTTCCCTTGCTCCCATTTTCTTATTGACCTCATTGCTCTAGTCAGCGTAGCAGTAGTCTGCCTCCTCTAACAGTATAAGGATGAAAAACATATGTATTATAGATTAGTGAAATGTGTACAGGAAGATCACAGTAGGACAGTGATCTAACGTGTTCAAAAAGGGCTCGCTTGTGTCAGTTCAGCTTACAGGAAGCATACCTCTAACAGAACCTGAAGTTATTCAAAAGGGGCTGCAGCTGAGCAATGAAGGGAGAAATTTTAGAAGTGGGTCATCTACGCATGTCTAGGGCGACAGGTTGTTTCAAGAGTTCCACTACACCCCTGTTTCTAAAGCTTCTGTCCCTTGGCTAATTCAATTATTTTTACAGAGCCTCCTGTTAAGATGGTGTTTTGCTTTTTTTTCCCTTTCCAAATTACATTACAGATTAGAATCCCAAATATGGCTGACAGAAAAAATCATACTCTGAGTCAGGATTCATATTGAGGAAAAAACCCCAATTACTCTAAATCAGAGCTACAACAAATGAGAATTTACTATGCTGTGAAATGAGGGTGCACGCTTCTCTGCACTTCAGAAAACAGTAAGAACATTTGTATTTTAAAACCAACCACTGACTATTAAGTTTTTTGTTTCTAACGTACCGCTCAAAAGCAATTGTTAAAATGGTTTAACACCTCACAATGCCTGGTTTCATTAACCGCATTCTCTAGAAAGTGAGAAACATGATAAAGGACTGTCTTTGGGAAAAAAGCCCTCCTTCACGTATTTGCCTTGAAGTGGCTTCTGAAGAGGATACCTCTAGTTGAGAAACTTCCAGCACTCACGCAGAGATGACCTGCGTGAAGAACTGGCTGCCTGATTAACTATTAACTACTCTCAATAGGATTAGATAATTAAAGACATTGATGACCATTAATTAGGAGGAGGGCACCTTAATTTGTCACTTGATAGGGCCCTTTCAATGATTTATAGGTTAGGGCTACTTGCAATTGTGAAGGGGAGGGGGCAGTGAAGAGAGAGAACCCTTAAGTTACCTTATCAAGTGGCCAGCTAAAAAGGGCAGAGGGTCAAATAAGGGCCAAAGTGGTCACTTAAGGGTGAAGTCCCAAACACCAAAGCAGTGCCAAGCCACATTGACCATCATTTGGTGATGGAGTAAAAAATATGCTAATTTATTGGTGGCAATTCTCTCTTTTTTGTGGTTTCAAGCAGTTAAGACAAGTGGCCTGCTTAAGAGCTTTTCATTTGAAAAGAGATTAAACAAAATGGTTTGTCAGGGATGCTTGGCTGTTTTATGTCTTTGTTAAAAAAAATTTGCCCAGACTGTACCGATGACTATCACATCGCCCTGAAAGCCATCTCCCATCTCTAAGCATTACTTGGTTAATAAATACATCAGCTCTAATTGCTTAATAGTGCTATGTTCATTTGCTCTTTAGCAAGATTAAAATGAAATACATCTTTTGTATTACTGCCTTCTATCAGGACTGTCTGCATAAAGGTCACAGAAAAAAGTTTAAATTTAGTAGGAAATTTACTTAAGGACATTAGTGTAAATGATACTGTGTTTAAAATGACATAAAAGAGCGAAAGGTGATTTCAGTAATGCAAAGAAAATGGTTTCTGAATACTGATAAGGACACTTATCCTTCATACCACACACAATTTTAGGCAGCATTATACATTAAAATCCCTCTACTGGGGTAATAACATGTAGCTACTTTCCCACCCACTAACACAAGTAAGAGCAAGTCATTAACATTTAATTAAATATGCTTCTGACATCCTTAGAAACATGTCACGCTTTGTTACCGAAGGTTGTGGCCTACTTTCTATGTACATTTTAAACCAAAATAAACTATTTATAACAGACCGATTTAGTGCAGCAAATGAGACATTTTCAATTAGAAGGCATATTACAATATTTTATAAAACCACTCTGAACAGCAAAACCAGAACGAAATGAATTTACACCTGATGCATATTTTATGTATTTCACAAAATGAAACATAAGAGTTGGGATTAGCTCCACCTTTTGGGTTCTAAATAGTAAAACAAAACTGTTTCTCTTACCTCAATGGTGAACAGCTTCCTTTTTAATCTAAAAGCCAGGTCCTTCGTGTCTGACACATCACAGATCAAGCTATTAAGCCGAGGAATCTGATGTACATGAACCAAACCTTGTGTAAAGAAAGGGTAAAGGAGGGAAAAAAATTAAGAAAACGCTGTCATCCAGATGCATAAATTAGAGCCTTACAGCAGAATTCTGTATATTTACACACACTCGTCCTCCCCTTTTTAAACTGGAGCTTACTACCAGGAGCAATGAAGCAAACGGTGCGATTATACTCAAGTAATCAAGCAGAATAAGATAAACAGAAATCCTTGTGCGAGGAAAACTAATTGCACTTTGGTACAGAAGTACAGATGTAAAGAGGGATCTTAATTCTTGTCAAAACTACAGCCGGTTTGTGTGTGATTTTCTCTTGTATTTACAGTAAGCAAATATGGCTATCACCTTGCATGCTGCCCACGGCACCGCTGAGTGATCTTTATTTTATTAAATGCGCCAGTAAGCAGCCAGCAAAACAAGGCTTATGGGTTACTGATAACCACTGAAGCTCGTTTTGTGCCCTGGAAATGACTTTAATAAAGTTTTTGGAAAATATCGATTTAGATCAAGCTTTTTGATAAATTTTAGCCCCTATGCCATCCTAAGAGAAATACATTTTCTTCATGCAGGAGGCTTACATGGCCGTTTTTAACAGTACTAGGTGCACTGCAAGCTCTGCATTCTGTCAGCTGCAACTCAAGCTGATTTTTTTTGACAAGGACGCTGGATGGTTTTTGTGCAGCCTAATATAGTTTCTGAACAACCTAAGGGTGATTTTCTACATCTGAAACCCAGGAAAATTCTACAGGGCTTCTCAATTACTGGCCTATATTTGCTATTCATAAAGCTGGCCTCTAAATGGAAGTACTGAACATTTAGAAAAGACATTTTACTTGAAAACAGCAACTGTGAGAAAGAAAACCTCAAACGCTAAAATCCTAAATCCTTAAAATAACAGAAGTATTTTTTCAGGGTTTTATTTATTTTTTTAGAAGGAAGAATAATGGAATAAATTAGTTTTCTAAAACCAAAATACTTGAAGAAGCATAATTTTTACGGGTATTAATGACAAAAATCCTCAATAATATTAGAAAAATATTTTTACGCTTTGAAACCTTCTATCCCTGCCTCCAGAGTGGTGACATATAAGAACTATTTGTTTGGTTTTTGAGTTCAAAATACAATTATTAATAAGCTTAATAAAATTATTAATGCAAGATTCACTAAATATTGCAATAATTTAACCAAACTTCTCCCGCGTAATGTCAAAATCTTCCATCATCGACAGTAAATAAATGATCTTAAAATATATTCTTAAGCAAAAAGAATCCTCAAAGTTAAAACTGTTAAAAATACCTACTTTTACAATGTTAAATTAAGGTTGCCTAAACCTCAAAAACTATGTTTTGGCACATAATTTTTATTAAGTAACAAAAATGATTTAGCATACATTTTTGCAAGAAATAACTGCTAAAACACACATTGTCTTAAAAGATCTCTTCAGCACTGGGAAAAGGAGTATCAAATTGACAGAATTATGTTAGCATAAACAAACACCACATCATGATTATACAATTGGAAAAATAATTAGGCAAATTATTCCAGCTTTTGTTCATGGTTTCTTTTTCATTCACCTTTTTTTTGTTCAGGTAATGAAATGTGCACTATTTTCTTAGTCAAAAATAATTTTCTCTGACTTATTAATTACAGCCTGCTTACACACAGTGGTGTTTCAACACCATCTTTGCTTCTTTTTCTATATATTCTGCTGTGGAAAACACTGCCACATTGTCACGTGTTTACGGTAGGTTTCGGATAAGCAGTTTACTTTCAACTAAAGGTTTCCATGGAACTACAGTAGTATCACAATAATAACAGCTGTAATTTATGCTCACTCAGAGCACTGCTCTGGATTAGCTAAAACTGTTTGTTATTCACTGCTTTGCTATGCATGATTTCTAATCTAATCTTTTGAAATTTAAATAGTTCTGGTGTGACAGCTAACAAAATCTTTCCCAAACAAACTATAAGATTAAACACTATTACACATTTTGAAGATAAATCACTTGAAAGGCTACATGACTTTATACCAAAATTAGTTTTATATTTTACATGCCACACATATCCACATGCATTTCTTTTGATGTGTAACTGCCATACCTTAAAGCTGAAAAATAGAACATTATTTTCAGATAAAGTATATATAGCACTTCATTTAGCAGTTTATTCACCTTAATATAATATATGTTTTTCCATGTTCTCTATTTAAAACTTGGCAGATCAAAGTATTGATTTCATGACAAGTTCAGCTTGCTGGTCAGACGATTGCCAAGCCTCCTCTGCATGTGAATTCCCCAAAGCCTGCCTGTTGAGATGTACATCTGATTGAGCCATGCCTCAGTAATATGGCTTGACAACATGCAAGGAGTTGCCATGTTTCCTTTGCAGCCTTAATGCACTTTACTGAAAATTTTCCTAACTCATGACTGGTTAGCAAGGAGAAACATTTAAGAGGCATATTCTAAAATGAAACCAAATGCGGCTTTATAGCAGGTACCCAATTGGAGGGTAAGCCGCTAAGTGCCCTAGAAACACTCAGGGCAGACTTTCTGCATTGCTAAAGATGGAACTCACCGTGGTAATCCTTGTATAATGGGTTGGTTTCTCTCTCAGAGCCAATAAATGATTCAAGACCAACTACCGTATCTGACAAGTTTGTTACACGTTCCATAATTGCTTTATTCTGTAAGACATGGAAACAAAATACACATCCTATGTGATGAAAACGCAATTAATGTTTATAGAGTAAGTCTTGGTCTTCTCAATGACAAACTGAGGAGAAAATAGGTCATCAATACTTAGAAATTACATTAAAGGGCTTTTTTCACTAAAAAAAAAAAGACTTGAAATTTCGGTCTAAAGAAAACATACATTTGACAAGCAGAAAACATAAAAGAGCTAACTCAGCACTAAATTCATATTTTCCTAAATCTTAATAACACAAGCATTGCTCACATCAGAGATATTTACAAGCTATGTGGCAGTTAAGCACCTTTCATTTGTTTCTCCTATGAGTCAGATGCCCAGCTTTTGTTTGTGTTCTGAAAACCTTGGTTTTTCACACACTTAGGCATACCACCTCTAATATTTCGAGCAAGCACAACCCACATGATTATTCATTTTGGTCATCAGTCAAACAACATGGAAAACCAGAGCATTTTCTCCAGTATTTTTCTTTATAAAAGTTCCTCTCTACACAACATATGAATCTATCTAAAGCTTTAAGTCACATTACCATTTCTCACTATATTTGTGTTTTATAAGTCATGCCTTTTATCTTGTGCAAGAATGTACTGTCATGTGCCTTAAACAAGCTATTTTCCGCAGTTTTCTTTACTTAATTTTTATATAGCAGAAAGCAACATTTAAAGGTCACAACAGAGATCTTCAGAGGTAACTCAGGAGAAAATGTTCTTAAATGCTTTGATGATGCCAGTATTTAATGAGAAAAAAAAAACCAAACCTGTGCTAAAAAGCACTTATCTTCTTTAAGATAAGAAGTAGTTATATTAAAGCTGCCTGGACAGCTAGTATGCTCTTGATCTTGATGGCTGTAGGTGCTATACCCATCATACCTTCAGGGGTATCAAGATGAACCACCTCACAACACCCATTCCAGGCATGAAGAATTAGCTCTGTAGCTCCAAGTTATATTTTGCATTTTTTACTAATTTTGAAGAATTTTGCACATTCTGCGCTTGTTTCTTAAACTATACCACTAATGCTTATCATGAAAGATCAATTTAAAAACTAGTAAACTATTCGATAATAACAATTTATAAAGTCATTAGGAGCAGAGAGAAGCATCCCTAGATGTGTTAGAGAAGTCTATGCATTGTACTGACATACAGGTTTATTAAAATGGTGATCAATACACCAACTGCTTTCATGAACCTACATTTCAATAACAGTGTATTTCCTAGCCACAGAGAAGCCTACGAAGTAGACGTGAAAGTTGAATATTTCCTACTCCCAAAGAATAATCTGAATTCTGCTTTTTGACCGCTACGTAAAGTAACTTGTGGCCTGTCCTGCACAACCCAATCTGCTTGGGCTACAAAGCCTAAATCCACCGATCTCATGGTACCTTTACACCCCCTCCCTTCTCCACCTTATGGGCCAGATGGCATTAAATCCTGGGGACTGGTCTCTTTTCAAAGCCGCTACTTGTGCACAGGCCAAAATGATCTATCCCCATGGAATCAGGGAACTTCAGTTTTACCTACGAAGTCTAATGATGGATAATGATAAAATTGTGTTATACTACAGAATTCCCTTTCTGAGGAATAACATAAGTGATCTGAGGTAAAAGAACACTGCCTACACATCAATCTCTAAACTTCGTTATTATATCTGCCCCTGAAATATTAAAACTGACTCACAAATTATTTCCTCTTCCAGGAAAACAGAGACAGTATACTATATTTTAATGGAAACTTCTGGTCACATTATTCTACAGGGGCAATCCCATAAAGATGGTATAAATATAAATCCGAAGTAGCCAGTAACCTCTATAAATCCACAGATCAGAAATTACCATATTTTGCCAGTTCTTCAGCAGCCTGCTGGACATTATTTGTATGAGCAAGAAATTAAAAAATTGTTACATAAATAACACTGATGATTTCTGGAAGCTAACCTAAACTCTTGGTATATAAAAAATATTCTATCATTTGAAAAAAAGTTTGCTTTCCATTAATGTTTTTGCTTGCCGGTTTTGATAACAATGAGTTACAAAGACTGTGGATAGAAAGATGCTCAGCCATCAGCAAGGTATCCTCATCATTAGCAGTCCTGCAAATCGTAAGAACAGCATCTTTCATATTTGGTCTTAATTCTGGAAAGATTCAAGTGAAGCATACTAATTCAATATTTGCCCAATGATATACACTCCTGTATGCTGGTTTCAGCTCGTCTTCTGAAGAGGTTTGCTTTCTTAGATTGTAGTTTGTTTGCCCATGCTGATTTTGTTTTTGTTTTTAAAGTATGTCAAAATGTTCTCCTGGCTTAATGCAGTGTATCTTGGGAAATATTTTCCACAGTGAATCGCCACACCAAACAGACATTTGCTTATGTGGCATTGTTGCCATAGATCTGTATCTATCATGTATTTTCTAGTTTGCAGTGTTCAGCACATTAATGTCCAATCAAAGCTGACGTCAGCACACAGATAGTTGTGATGTATGGCATACTGACATAAACACACAAATCATGTTGCCCCATCTGGGCTTGAAAATTTAACAGAGCTCCAGATCTTCCTCCAGCCCCATACAAATCTACCTCCTGCTTCTGGCATAAACTTGGCAGCTCTGGAGGTGAGCCAGGACATGGTTAGGAGGGGAGCCAGGAATGGGGAGATTCAGTGAAAGAGTTTGTTGGCAGCTAGAAGAGGTATTGTTTTAAATTACACTAAAAAATAAAAAAAAAAAAATCCCAACGCAGTCCTGGGAAGTTTTCAGTCTTGCTAGATGTACTGCAGTTTTTCTAAATTAGTTAGTTCAGCCAAAATGCAATTATTCTAACAACATGGTAGCAACCCTGTTGTGCAGGCTGGGCTGGACATCCATTCTATATCTTACTTTGAGCTCAGAGTCTTAGACAGACATTTTCTTTTAAAAGCAAACTTGCAATATTTGGGCTCAACCAAAGTGTACTTTCAAAACAGCATCTCAAGAAAATCCGTGCAGCTACTTAGATAAGTAAATGGGAACTATATGTGTTTAACCAGCTTTTGGGAAGGGCAATTAGGCAAAAAGCTTGCTTTGTCCTAGTAATTTATTTGCAGAATCTACATAGCTTTGAGTCATTATTTGTGTGTGTTTAAAACTACTCGCTTCCAGGAAAGCAGTTCAAAATGTATCATGTTCCGTGTGTGAGTACAGAGCATGGTATTCTATCAACACAAATATATGTATAGCCTGCATGCTTAAATTTATATACTGAAATTAATATTGTGTGTTTCTACTGGATTGAGTTCTTAATGTGCCACAATTTTATCACTACTACTATTAATCAAATCAATCTTGGCTCGTTTGGATGGAGTCTCTATTAGGAAAAAAAAACAGTCCTTTCTACTCTCCTCTAATTTCTAGTTCTCCTCCGATTTCCTGTCGAATTTTTTCTAACATCCAGAGATACGTCCTCCCATTTTACTTTGTCAGTTTCTAAAGAAATTAAAAACCTCACAAAATTTAAGTAATAAAAATCTTTAAATTCTCAGTCCTTGCACTGCATTCATTAAAGTCAAAGAATGGAAAATTCTCTTAGAATGGCTTCGACTTTTCTACATACTACATATAAACAATCTCAAAATTTAAAAGGAAAATAAGACACTCACGTTAAAGATCTATAATGAGATCCAACTTGCGCCTGTATAAATACATTAAGCTCTTGAATCACAGGGGCTTCATATATTTGTATTTGTATTTTTATCAATACATGAATGTAATTTTAATACTGATGTATATATTGAACTGAAAATAAGGTATTTTAAGACTATGCCTCTTTTCAAAGAGACATTAGGCCCATATTATGGCAGAGGGCTATATCTTACTTCTTTACACTCTGGTAATCTAATCCCATCACCAATTTTATTTTAAAACATTTAATTAAGAGTTAAGACATTGAATCCTAAAGTGGGTTTCATTACCTAAAAAACTACTTACAAACAACCACTAGTACTGGGACAAGACCCAGTTTAAATGGTCAGTTGCATATTGCAATTGTATAACTGCACAGAATTTAAAGATGAATTACTCCCCCCAAGTCCAGGCAAAAGTGTAAATGTAGGCAACAATTTGCATTGTTACCAACAGGTGAGTCCAGTAATCCTGACACTTCATTTGAAAGAAGATCTCAATAATAAACAGCAAGCAAGCAAACTCAGGCAATGTAGTATGAACCTTATGAACTTCAGCTAAATTTTGGTATAAGAATTCTCAAAAAAAGCTCAAAAATTGGTTGTGCCTTTTGCTTCTGTCCCAGTCTGTCATAAAGCCGAAGCAAGCTTAGCATTACCACATAGGCAGCCACAATGGACTATAATGAAACACTGGCTGGATATTCAATAGAAGAAATAAGTTGATATTTTCTGAGAGATTATCACACAATGATGTGGTAATGACTTCACAATATACAAATATTTACCACTTGTCATTACTACTTAGTCTCCAAAGGATTTTAAATTGAAAAGATAAATTATTAAGAAACATGGCTTAAATATTTATCACCACCTGGTTAATAATTACTGCTCAGAAAAATCACAGAATTACCTATACATTTTATTTTGGTAAAAGAAGTTCGGTATTAGGCCCTTGTACTAGATTTAGAGAGAGATACAGTCTGTGCACTTTTTTATTATTCACAAATCCTGAAAGTAAAAGATTAATGCACACTCTGCCAAAAAGTACTCTTTTACCTTTGAAGAACCTTACCGACTATAATAGAACTTAAGTACAAATATCCATTCACATGGATTAAATCACAGAAGCACTGATTTTGGTTGATTTGTTTATATGTACACTGTATTACATTGGCTAATTTCAAGCAATGAATAGTATATTTGAATAATTTTATACAAGTTACAGAAGCAAAGAAAGGACATGTAGCGAAGACGTAAGTAGGTAATTAGATGCAACGTACTTGTAAAAATGGGAAGGGAGTAACAAAGCATCTGTTGGCCAA